GTTTGGACCCGGAGCGAGACTTCCCGAAGAAAAGTAACTCATAACGGCTGAACACACGTTTTTATCAGAAATATGACACAAGAAAAGTTTGTATAGGTTTTGGATGTGTATTCAGTTTCTGTCTCCGTCAGCCTGTTGGAGCTTTGAGCAGAACCTTGACTTTATTTTATTTGAGTTGTCTCGACACATTTCTCCATCAGTGTTACAACAGTGGCTTTTGTTGTGACCGGTGGGAAATGGTGTTTTATCTCCGTAGGGAAATTCTCTTGTCATTTGGCTGCTTCCAGAAAAGTGAAAGGATCAGAGCCGCAGCCCCGGAGCTCTGGAGACGCAGCAGCAGCAGCAGATGCTTGTTGACACGAAGCTTAAGGTCATCTGGAAATAAAAAGTGAGATAGTGTGTCACTGATAGACCAACCCTCAGCATTTTCACAGCTCCGTTTCAAAGGAGAATCCCAGATTCCTCCGTTCTGTTCACGAAGATACGACGAATTCAGCTCGAATGGCAATCGCATCTCAAGTCCCTAAAAATCTGAACCAAATCCGTCATGTGTGGACAAAGATCTCATTTCAGGTGTCAAGCCTGTTTGTTACCTCACAAAAAATTCTACCCTCCTAAATCTGCTAGATCCAGATCTTTATGTGGATCTGCACCAAATTGCACACACTCATGGACATCAGTCCCCTAAACACGCCGGATTTGTTTTATCATGATCAGTGAATTATTCCCTTGGGAATCAGTTTCCAATTAATAAGGAAAAACAGCCCTCCTCCTTTAAACAGCGTCTCTGTAGCTCTTTTGAAACAGTCGCTCAAAACCCGACCAGTGTCGCAGGTTAACGGGAGCAGGTCCTCTGAGGTGTCCCGTGTCCCTGAGCGTCCCCGTGAGACTCCAGCATATGGATTTCTGTCTCCGTGGTTTAACCTGAGTGTCAGTGGAGGTGCCAGGTGGGGCAGAGGTGGCTGCCGGTGGGCGCGGCGGAGGCTGTAAGTCGACACCAGGTCGAGAATTTCTACAGCAGCTCGACTGCTCAGCTCTGTGGTTCATGTTCATGTTGATGTGTAGAAAAACATTTCACATAAATGTGGAAACATCTGAGAGTACAAGCTTTAATCTGGGGTTTATTCCGCACATTGATAATTCATTTTTCAGCTGCATTCATATATGAAACATTTGCTGCCTTGAAACAACGCAGCGTTCGAGTGGGTTGGAACAGAAACATCTTTCATGAAATCGCCCTTTATCTAGTGATGTCGGATGAGTCACGCTGCATTAAAGCAGCTCCTGTTTCATCTCTGCGATAATGAATTAATCATTAGCGTTGAACAGATTCAAGTCGGGGGGGCGAGTGTTAACAGCAGAGACGAGAGCGAACCTGGAAAAACAACAAAATGTTTTCACTATTTCAAACCTAAAAATGACTATTTGAACATTTTACCCATTTCCCACAGAAACAGACACTGGTTTACAAACATCGAGCACATTTTGGGGACTGAATGTTTTTTTTTACTTTGTGCAAAATGTGTGAAGGCCAGGTTGAACCTAAAAACAGACTTGGATGCATATTTATGAAATGTGTTTCCTTTGTCCTACATTTGAGTTTACTTCCATCTACCCTGCGGAGCCTGGAGAACACGGTGCTGCGGCTCAGCTACGTCGAGGCTGCGCATCCTCCACCTCCCGCTCTTTTGTTTAACTCTTCTTCGTCAACTGAAACTCTGCACTGACGTTAATAAGCTCAACATCGTCCTCCCTCTGCTGCAGAGAGCAGGATAGACCCCAGCTGCTGTTAAATATCCCATAATTACCCAATCTGAGCTGAGCAGACTGCAGGTTTCCATGACAACAATACTACAAAATATTAAGTCACTGCTGCTTTACTTTACTTCTTCGTTTCCTCCACATCTCCTCCTCCGGTCCTGCGTGATCCCGTGGAGTTCCAGCTGTTGACCAGCAGATCCGAGTTGAACTTGTTGATTGTTTCAAAACATGATTTAAAACACGGCGTCTCTTCTCTTCCTCTGTTTGTCGTGTGTCGTCCTCAGCGGTGGGTGGTCAGCAGGCAGATGCGGTTCGAGGGAGGATTCCAGGGCCGCTGTAATAAACTTGTGGACGGCTGCTACTCTTTCTGGCAGGCGGGACTCCTGCCTCTTCTCCACCGAGCCTTATTCAAAGAAGGTACGACGTCTCCGTCATGTCACAGACTGTCTATCGGTCTATTATTAGAGTTTTGTGTTTGATGAATCGTGTGCGTGCAGGAGAGTCGGAGCTGAGTCGGCAGCGGTGGATGTTCGAGCAGCAGGCCTTGCAGGAGTACATCCTCCTCTGCTGTCAGAACCCAACAGGGGGCCTTTTGGATAAGCCTGGCAAGTCAGTACCACACCATCTGGACGCACACGCTGCAACGCATAAACGCCAGCAACACACAGACACACACACACACACTCACACACACACACACACACACACACACACACACACACACTCTCCCTGCTGTTCAAAGTGTTAAATGTGGTTTAACTCAGATGTATCATTTCCCCGTGTCCAGATCCAGAGATTTCTACCACACGTGTTACTGCCTGAGCGGCCTCTCCGTAGCACAGCACTTTGGAAACATGGACCTCCATTGTGAGGTGATCGTCGGCAAGGAGGAGAACAGATTGGTGAGGCTGCAGCGGGGACGGGGGGGTGAGGGTGGATTAATTCACAACATTTCTGTTGGATACGATTATTTTCAGCTGGTAACAGCTGAATAAATTTAATTGTATCTAGAACTTCTAACCACTTCCTTAAGAAAGAAAAGGTTCAGTAAATTCATTGGAGGCTCGATGATATTGAATGACGTTAAACTAGTTTTCACGTAAAGTTCATTGTAGCGCGTTGGGAGAATATTCCTATGTGTCTGCTAAACACGAATACGACCACATAAATGACATTAACAAAGGCTCAGGAGTAAGAAGACGTTTAAATCAACTATGGTCAAATTAATCTCGTTTTTTCTCTGCAGGCTCCGACTCATCCCGTTTACAATATTTGTCCCGAAAAAGTGGCTCAGGCTTTGCAGCACTTTCACCGGCTTCCTGTCCCAGAAGACAACAGACAGCCTGGAGCCTCCGATGCCGACGGGCCGTCAGACCCCGCCTCGGCATCAGCTGACCCTCAGTCCTAGCCCTGTCCTCAGTGGAGACGTCACTGAACGTGAACCAGGTCAAGGACTGGAATCAGCAGATGATACATTCAGGCCTGAAAGAGGACGAGCCCGGGACCCGGCAGGATAACGGACCTCCGGCAGACACGAGAGCCGGAGTTTAGGAGGTGAAGCTCCACAGTCGTGTGTCGGCAGATTTGCATACAGCCGATTTGTTTTGCTTGCTCGTTTTCCTTCTCTGAAATAAAAAGTGAACCTTTGTTCGGTTTCGTTATGACAGACGTTAATAAAACTTTATATAGCACTTCTCATCACGGTGTTAGAAAATGATTTATGACTTCTGAATGTGTTGGTGGAATATTTCAGACCAAACGGGAACCTATAACACACCACATGGAAATCAAAGCCGCACAAGCAAAGTTGAAATATTTGTTTTAAAAACCAAGAACTCACTGAAAGCAGGACCGAGGCTTCAACTGAGAAACAGAGGATTACTTTTAGATATTGTTTGGGTGGAGTCCTGGAATTTAGACTAATAAAAAACTTTTAACCAACAAAATTCAGATCATTTCAAGATTCTTTACACCAGAAGCAAAATTGTTCATAACTTGTCAAAAGGACTTTTTAATCTGGGTCTAATTCTAATTACAGACAAATTATCTGTTGAATTTCAGAAGATCTTTAAAAAATTGTTATTTAAGTTGGTGTCTTTGCAAACTAGAAATTGTCAATTTACTGTCACACACATCTGCAGCAAATCTTAATCTGAAGCCGTGAAAATGTTTCTTTCAGCACCTGTTGACATATCTCGTTAAATAGTTGCAAAGCCAAAACAATACATGAAATAGGAAACATATCAGATACTTCCACTTTGGTACAAGCTTTGGCTGGAATTAAAAACACAAAATCCATCTTCTAAATCAGAAAAGACAGAAGCGGGTTTGTCGGCTGCTGTCAACAGACAAAGTACATAATGACATCACAGCAGAAAGACGTCCCACCACGAGAGACTCGTCTCCCTCGGTCTTATCCAGACACCTGCTGGCAACACTGGAAACCAGAAAAACCTGAATTTGTGTTTGACTGCACGAAAAGCTTTACAGCAGCAGAGAGGTGGAAGATGAAACCCGTCATTAAATCCACCGCAGGATTTTAACACACACACTTCCGGAACATGTTTCGTTACATTTGAAGCCCGACAGTCAAATGAAAAAAAAAGGCACGAAGAACATGTTAAAGGATAAAATAGTTTATTTTATAGTCTCATAGTAAAGGTAGGCCTCAACTTGCAAGACAATTGTTGGCAGTATGTACAACATACTTGTAATTTCCATGGAATGGAATCGGACAAACAAAGACCTATTACGCTAATGATATCCTCCTAAATGCAAATAAAATGGAACCAATATACATACACACACGTTTCCTAGACACGCAAAATGCTTTCTTATGTCTCGGGGGAGATTCAGCAACATGATTTTACCGTGTAAAGCACAACACATCAACAGGGACCGATTCCGCTTCCTTGTACTGCGACGGACGGGAGCTACCTTCTGACATTCAATACCTATTTCATACCCTTTAAGGAAAAACTACGTGTGACAAATTGGCATTTTCCCAAATGACTCGTGAGATTACTACAAAATGCATAACATATTTTTTTTTTTCAACTCGAAAACATCCAATCATTGCTTTTTTTTGTATAATAATATATAAAACGAGATGCCTAACGTATTCAGCCACCTAAAGTCATTCACTACTTCAAGCTAAAGGACGAAATACGATACAAGTTTAGGAATATTCTCCTTCAAAACATCAATTTCAACAGAGTCACGGTTTCTTTTTTTTTCTCTTTTTTGTCGTGTTAACGTGTCGGGGCAGAAAACGCCTGCGCTCCAGTGGGCCTGAGGTGGGTATCACTTTTACGTTTGCTTCAAAGCGCCTTCACATTCTTTAGTGGAAAAAAATTAAGCTACAAATCGGTTTCTTTTTTTTAAGTTTTATTTTTAAAAAAGGTAAACTTCTCCAGGACCATTTATCTAGGTGTGTGTGTGTGTGTGTGTAGATTCTAAACAGGTTTTTAATCAAGAATAAAGAAATGAACAAAAAGAAAGTCAAATATATAATATAGCAGTGCTTGGAGGAGTACGCCTGGTGCCCCCCCCCCCCTCCAAAACAACCCCGGGTCGGAGGAGGGGCTTCATTGAGGGTACAAAAAAAGCATCAAGTCTTTAAGTAGCCAAGCTGCCTCTTTTTGGGTTTTGGACTGCTGACGTTGCTAGAGGGGAAATACCAATGACGCAGAACCAGGGAGGAGAGAGGAGGAGAGAGGAGGAGAGAGGGAGAGAAGGGGGGGGGGGTAGGGAGGGGAAAAAAACCTGAAGCTCTCTACATGTATTGAAGCAGTCGTCTTCCACCCTGCTGGCTTCCTCTCTCCTGTTCGCAGAGACCTGGTGGAGCGAGAAGAGGGAGAGAGGGTTGTGGTGGGCGGAGGTTTGAGGGGTCACGACTCTCCAGTGCGAGCCCACCCAGAGATGGAGGAGAGAGAGAGAACGAAGACGTCAGTGAGGGCGGCCGGTGGCGGTGGTTGTCGTCGTCGTCGTGAGAGATGAGGGGGAGGGTTCGATGAGCCTCGAGAGCTTTGAAGGCCGCGTTCGCTCTCACCCTCCCCTTGTCCCCCGCCACCGCCACCTCGGCCGGGTTTCGAGCCGAGCGGCTTTCTAGCTGGCCTCCACGCGCAGCTTCTTCCTGTTGGGCGGCTCCTCGGGCTCCGACTCGGAGCTGGAGTCGGAGCCTCCGTCGAACGCCGACACGGCGCTGCCTTTGGGGTTGGTGTACAGGCTGCTGTCGGATGAGGAGTAGCTGGCCTGGAGCTGGGCGGAGCCCTTCACTTTCTCCAGAGCACGCACTGCAGGAAGACAAAGGAGGAGCAACAACAGCGTTTCACAAAAGCATTAGCATTTGTCTTTGGCCTCCCCTCTATCGCTGCAGGGCCATTTTTATTTGCTGGAAAGATTCTCAGAGCTGCCTCAGGTTCTCAGAATCTATCTCGCAGGTGTAATAGGTAGAAACGTCAAGTGTCCCTGAGCCTGAGGGAGGAGATGAGAGTGAAGCAGTGAAATGCAGTGGCGTCGTTACCTTGCTGCTCCAGCAGAGCATTCTGCCTCTTCAAGTCGTCGATGTCCTGCTGGTGCGTGTGATTTTTTCGCCTCATGTACTGGATGTACTCTGTGGCTTTGTCTAGGATTTGAGCTCGAGACGCCTGTTTGGTAGACTGCTGTTAGTGACACATGCAAAAATGAAGCAATGACGCATGTATACAGTCTTTAATATAAAAATTCATGCACGTTATGCTACACACAGACATGCACACACACACGCACACACATAGAAACAGCAGCAGGGAAATCTGTCTCCTCTTAACGTCTCACTATGTTCGAGCACTTCAGTCTGACCTCCAGGGGTCAGGTCACGACCCTGACACAGAACTGTCACAGTGTTTGACCCGATTACATCAAACAAGCTGCTGCAGCCTGTTAGTGGACAGTTCCATCACGTCAGAGGACGACAGAACCTCAACACAGTAATATAATAATATATAAATCATCATGAGAAACTTCTTAAAACTAAGTCTTTACCTCAACTTCTGCATTCATATCATCGTCTGTATAAAGATGGACGACATGACATCGTATTCAGGATTTTTTGTATTCATTTCTCAATAGTGGGAGGAAGTGGAGGCATGTCGTCCATCTTTATTCACGTCAATGATTTACGTCAAAACAAGGATTCCCTGTGGTGATTTACTGCAAAGCTGAGGAACCTAACGTAACCGAGCCCACCTCATTACGTCAGCAAGAACTGGGACAAGTTTTGTTTTCCTTTTTGATTCATCAGCTGTTGTCTTGGTTATCGGTTTAGACCGAGGGAAGGTCGGAACATTTCATCGCATGTAACAAACATTTGATAGAACGCTGATTAAACCAGATGGTTTTTACATCTGAGAAGCTGGAACTGGTGAGTGTTTGGCTTTTGAATCAAAGGAGCAGTTGCATCAGCTCTAGTTATTACATCAAATGAGCGGGATTATGATTTTGGGAAAGGAACTGAAGTGATCATTAGAATTAGTCAGGAACTACATGGTTCCTAACACAAACAGTATGTAAATACATTCGGATTCATGCGCAGCCCTAATGTTCACTGCTCCTACAGAGCAACAACAGCAGTATGGTTGTGAGAACTGTAACCCAACACTTTATACACATTATGAGCACACTTCCCTCTGAGCATCTCACGAGCCGCCGCCCTTCACACTGCTCGCCCGTCCTGAACGGGTCTTTTAGGGGAAAAGAAAACACGGAGCGGCCAGTAACTGAAGCGGCTCCAAACGTCCTGGATGTCAAAACAGGAAGAGAGCAACAAAAATGTCCTCATAATAACTTCCTGACATCGGTCCAAGTCTTTAAGACTGCATCGCTCGTCTCGCTGCCACTCTGCTCTGTTACGCCAGCTGCCCTCCTCCTCCCAGCCCAACTATTTCCCTCCACTGACAAACACACACACACACACATTGAGTGAAGACATCTGCATCTCTGATTATTCACTAGAAATCGTCTTAATTACATAATGGAACAAATTCTATTATTACATTTTCTAAACAGTCAATTTCATGTTGAACACACAAACACACACACACACTTCAAGCAAACACAAGACAAAACAACAAAAATAAGTTTGAGTGTGATGATTAGAAAAGTGCTGGGGAACTTACAGTCTGGGGGTTACCAACCTTTTCTCCCTGCAGGGCGGGCACAGAGTCCCGCAGGCTGTGAAAGCTGTCTTTGATGTGGTCCCTACGTTTACGCTCCAGCGCATTGTGGTGTGCCCGTTTGTCTGCCTGCAATGACAAGAGTCACACGGCCTTCAGCCCGGCAGCAGAGCAGCGTGGGTAGAGGACGGCGGGTGTCCAGCCGTCCGTGGTCAAAACTACACAAGCCGCTCTGCTGCCAAGTCCCGCTCCGCCTTAACCGAGCAAACTGTGACTGCGCTCTGGATTCTGTGTGGTTATTTATCATTGAACTATTCCAGAGTCTACAAACACTGATCTGATCATGTGACCAAGCCTAGATATATAAGTGTAATATAATATGTAAAGATAAAAAACATTGCATGGAAAATATTTTTTATGTTTACGTCCTAATGTCATGAATGAGATGACATCAGGGATCCAACTAGTAATAATTACTGATTAATTAATAAATAGAACTCTGAAACATTCCCATCACAGATTCCTTGATCTGTTAGATCACAAAGTGATCCATCAACCTTCTGTTCCAGCTACAGATGAACCACTGATGAAATCATCATTTCTGGTCATTTATATGTCAAAAGAAGCTCATTCTCTAAGTTAATAATCTTAATATTCTAAATTATACAAACAGCAGATTGAAATATCAGTAAAACCTTGATGAAAGAGATTGTTACAAACTGTCGTCCTTGGAGAATTGATTTGTTTTCAAAGATTAGACCCATGTTTTGAAAATTAGATCAACATTAGATTAAATATTGGTGTATTTTAGGTGTATTTACAGTCACACTGGAAAACTACTACAGCAGCTGCAGAACTGATTATTTACAAAGTTTTACCAAAACCCAAAGCGAAATCAATTTGTGTGTTTAAAATTTTTTTACATTCATATAAAACTGACAAGACCAGGAAAATATTAATATGTGTGAAGCTACAACCCACATTTTGTATATATCAGTATAACAAGAAAGATAAAAAATACACAGTGATGAGACAAGACATGGACTAAATGTGCTTTTTCTCTATTTAAAGTTTAGTGCAATGGTTCAGGCAAAGAAATACATAAAGATGCTGACAGATGTGTTTTCTCACAGACCTGAGACATTCTCAAATTATCACTTTCGTTTAGAACCTAACGAAAACTAACCACACGTTCCTCAGCATCAACTACACATGCACCAGATGTTGGTCACGCATCAGCTCGGTAGAGACATAGAGGAATAATAATCAAGGTCACAGATTAATTTTATCTAGTGAGAGACTGTGTCACAGTTTAACGAGTCGATAGCCTCATGGTGAAAAGCTCAATGAGGAAATAAAACTGTTTTAACTTTCTGGAAACGGACTTAAACCTTGTTGTTTACATGATCCTGTCAAAATCAATGTAACATAAAAACCGTAACAGCTAGAACGTTTAAGTTCCCCGTCCTCTAACACATGTTGTTGTGACGCTTTGTGACGTGCAGAGAAAAATGTGTCGGTGACGCACAGTGGCAAGAAAAATTTTCTTAAAATGTTCAAATAACTTTTTCAGTGTTTAAAAAAGTTTGTAAACGTTTCAATATTTCACATTTTTTAGTGTCCAGTGTTTTTTGTGTTTATTTAACAAAGTCTGGTGTAAAACATGTCTCCTTTTGAATTTATCTAATTTAAAACACTTATTTGTTTATTTATTTGCATAAAAGTTCAGCTTCTGCACGATGAGTCCTTTTGACTGTTACCAGGATAAACTTCAAGTATGGTATCTTTGCTTGTTGCAGTTTAGGTTTCAGGGTTTAAAAGCAGAAGGCTGCGGCTCAGTGACGTGTAGGAGTTTGTTTTCTGTTCTGAACTTTTGTGTCCCTCAGTGTTTCCTGTGTTCTTTTACATCGCACAGCTTGAATCATATGACGTCTCCCTCACAAAGACAAAATCCACCGTTAATTACCAGCCTGTGCACTGAATCAAACCAAACCACGTCTCGTGTCAAGATGTAAAAATAACTAACTTATACTCGTGCAGCAGCGTCCAAGAGGCTGCAAAATCCAACTGATCATTTGAATACTCATTCGACTGTAAAGGCACAAGATGGCTGCCATGATCACCAGACCAGGCAGGAGATCAGTTTCCTGCCTGGTTTTGACCAGACCACCAGCCTCAGGTCACATCTGATTAAAGACTGATCCACGCCGGCACCAGTTCTGCAATAAACCAAAGGCCTGATTTAAGTACTGGTGATACGTTGGTAAAACGGTCACGACTGCATGTGGCTGAATGGGAGTCAACGTTCACGTCATGTGACCTGGTGTCATCTGACTCACGTCGTCCACAGATCACAACAGAAACCAAACAGAGCCGCAGGTGAGACAGCACGCAGGTTAGAACACGCCTCCGCCGTCACAGGTTTGGTGGGAGGGTCAAAGTTAAAGCGTGACTCAAGCTGCTGCTTTGAAAACATAAAGAGGAGAAACATTCTTCTGAGGTGACGGACCTCAGACCAAATCCTGAACGGAAGTGAAACGGAAACCATAATGACAAACTATATTTAAAAATAATCACCGAATATTTCCCACAATTCTCATCTTGTGATCAGTCTGGCTGGCATGGCAACAGCTGCTCCTGTTGCACAAGAGCCACAAACCAGCCAGGAGACACAAATCCACCAGGACCATGATCCTCGTCGTATCATACAAACAGCCTCCGCTCGCTCTATTAACTCTGGCATAAACAAACACTGAGCTGGTGTAATTACGGCACAGCACGGCAGCCATTTTCATAGCAGCCATTTCTGTGATTTGAGGCTGAGAAACAAATTTAACCACTAAACTCTTACAAGCACTGATTGATACAAATAATTTCCTACATCAATTTACACACAACAAAAATACGAGCTAATTATACTGAGACATGTTGTGATGCCTCCCAAGTTACTGTACGTGTTATCTGATGCACCACGGCCGTGCAAGTGTTATCAGTTCATCATAAAACTGATACCTTTTGCTGGATGCCTGAGAGTAGACATGACGTGCGCTGCTATCTATTCGAAACCGACCACGATAAGTTATGTAACTGCTCCAGGTGCCGGGTGGAGGAGCTGGTGGCTGCTGAGGGTCGTTTCACATTCTCAGCATGAAAGCCAACACTTCAACCAGGCAGGTGGAAGACAGAGGGAAAACCCTCTTGAATTAATTACAGTTGTGTTATCGTTGTTTTATGCAACCAACAATCTACAATAAAAAATCCTTACTGAAGATCTCATTACGTTTCAACTTGTTAAACTTGTTAGTCTGAGACGCTGAACAGAAGACAAATGTATGATTTGCTGGATAGTTTAACAACGATCGCTGCCTCTGTTGACTCTTTACGTTTCTCCTGTTTACAGATGTAACACCTGACAATCGGTCGGAGGTGTCAGGACCTCAAAAGTAAACTAAAGGAACATATTTGCACGCTGTGTACTGTTGAACCAGATGGTCTGACAACCAAATACATGTTTGTTGAGCAACAAAGCATCAACCACCTAAAATAAACTGGAGGAAGGTCCAGTCCCCCAAATCCATTCATCACTTCACAAAGGTTATTTGTGAATTAATGACGCTCAAGAGATGTTTCAAAAACTCAAACACTACAATTACACCCCGTTTAGATTTGGGACCAATCAATGTCCTTTAATTATTCTCATTAAGACAGAAATTTATTTTTTGGCTTTTTGTAAAAGACCAAGAATCCTTTCCCAAATCAGAGATCAAGCGTAAATATAAATGAAAGACAGCACTAATGTAATTTCTTTTTAAATGGCAGCAAACGCGATCAACACTGTTCAACCCGATCCGAGTTAAAACATGTTTATTGCAATTGTTGCTCAATGCAGACCACAAATAATTAAATTAATACCAGGGCTCCTGTAGGTTAAATTTCAGTCTTTCTAAAAACCTTTTAAAGATCACAATGAGTGAAATTTAAGATCCAAGTAATCCATGACAGATATTAGTAAATAACAGAGTCCAAGAGTTACTGACACACCCCCAAAAATTGAAGATACTGCAAATTAGTCGATTTGAGAAAAACCATGGAAACACCACGTTATCTCTCACACTACAGACAGAGACAGTGTCCATCACCTTTCCCACAACCAGGCTGAGCGTAGGGAGATAAATCTATCAGCACTGTGACGGTCTTTATACAGAAATATTTGTTTTGGTGAGAAAGAACTACAACACACTGAGACATTACAAACTCTGCATGCTGCCAAAACAATTCTCTTTAAAAAAAACAATTATAGGACAACAGAAGTGAGACCTACTTAAAGGTCCAGTGTGGCGGATTTAGGTGAAAGGGATCTACTGGAAGAAACTGAATATAAAATAATCAGACTGTGTTTCATCTAAATTGTATGAATTGTAGTTTTCTTTACCCTAGAATGAGTCTTTTATATTTAAATACTTCATATTTAGATCAGGAGCAGGTTTTTGACAGTAGCCGAAACTGGACAAACTAAACTTCACGTCTTCAGCTGCAACATGCAACTTCACCACTAGATGTCACTAAATTCTACACACTGAACCTTTAAATGTATTTAAAATCTAGTGTTAAATATTTCAAATAAAGACTTTTAAATTCAGATTAACATTTTAGAAGTTTGAAAACCCTGCAGAACACTGCCGGGCCACAATTTATATTCAGAGTTGTCTGGGCCGTGTCTGTATATCTGCAGATTAAGGCCACGTTCTGTTTCATTCAGGACAAGATGTGCAGAGATGGAAGCAGCTGTCACTAACAGCGATGGGGAGATTCACATTTCTGGATTTAACCATCATCGATATCATCGAATCAAACGAAACAACGATAACGGGAACAAGTCGGAAGCTCGAGCACAAACTAGATTAATGCATGTAACTCGTGCAACGCTTTAAATTTTAATACTGCGTCTGTGTTGGGTTTTAAAATTGTGGAATTGTGGTTTTCGTGCAGAAGTCGTCGTGTTGTCGTGCAGGGTGTTTTTTTTTTTCTCTCGCGGTGCAGCTATACGTCATTTATTTCGGCTGCCAGCGGCCTGGAGAGAGAACATGGCTCTTTAATCACAGGAAAAACATCCCGCAGCAGAGCTTCCTGACACGAAGGATCGCACCGAGGGATGCAGGCGCGGCCATGGTCCCCTCTCCTCCTCCGCCTCCTCACCACCGTGGATGCAGAATTAAAACGTCCCTCTTTCATAATGACGTGACCTAAATGTGTGAACGTGCAAATCAGGAGCGGAATCCCCCCGTGACGATGAGGAGGGAGACACGACGAAGCGGCTGCAGATTCACGCGTTATACGTGTCCAGGAATAATGGAGGAGCGATATAAAAGCCTCGGTGACGGGATAAAGCTTTGGTCTAAATATAGATGTCGTGTCTATGGCCGCGCACACAGGATGGGGGGGAAACCCTGCAGTGCACTAACGCTGCAGCCGAGGAACAACCGCTGCACGCGCACAGATCCTCCAATAACCAGTTCGGCTGTGCGCAAAAATGACGCAAAGTGGCCGTGCGCGGATATCGATTTGGCGCAGAAATGAGAGCCACCACAGCGCAGAGGCATCACCCAGTCGCTTCCCATCGATCACACACAGTAAAATAAAATAAAAATAAAGAGGTAGATGTTTGTGATGGATAAATTAAGACAGTGAGACATTTTGTGAGACACTGGACAAGTCCCCCCAGCATTACGCACCACACAGTGATACCTCGGTGAGTCTTCCTGCAAAGACACAGAACAAAAAGTACAATTGTAGCCAGAACTGTTCAGCAAAATCTGACTGTTGTTCGCTGAGGTGACCAGCGAGTGAATTGAATTAGCTGGTTGGCGAAGCTCGGGGGCTACAGGGGGGAAACTAGCGCTGCGTGTTAAACGCAGCCAGAGCCCCGATGCAAGGAGAAAAGCGGGGCTAGCCGAGCCAGCTAACGCTAGCCGAGCTAGCTAGCTCGAGCTAAATCGCCAGCTAGCAAAACAACAAGGCAAAAAGCGGCGGGAAGTCGCCCATACTCACGTCACTGTCGACTTCGATGTCATCGTTATCGCTCATTCTTCGATAAAATGTTCAGAGTTAAAGGGACGCGGGGCTAAAAACACAACATGAAGCGGTGGAGCACCGAGCGGCGCTGCGGCGGACTGACTGCTAACAGCTCACGATCTGTTTGGACGAGACTCCGCTGTCTCCACGTGACTACACTCCGCACACGAGACTTCCGCAGCGCAGCGCGCATGCGCCGCACCGCCGGGGCGTCTGGGAAATGCAGTCGCCGTGGCGGGGTCGTTCCCGGATATCGCTTTGGCGCCCCCGGGTTTATTTGTGTGTTTTGACACGGGCGCGTGCAAACGTGAATACGTGCTAGTTTGCGAGTTTAGCGAATGTCGCGAATCAGGGCGGATGTTGATTTAACGGGAAGCGATGTTTCTTACTGGACTACAACTCCCGTGAGGGATTGAGCTCGCTCAGCGCGTCAAAGCGTCTTTTACCCTTCCGATGCATCATGGGAATTGAGGTTTGAGTCATGTTTGTGTGTCACAGGAGCTAAATAGGGCCATGACTGAGACACGTGGATTTTAAGAATTCACCATGGACACACACACACACATGTACACACACACACACACACACACACACACACATATACACAGACACACACACACACTCACTATTCTTTATTTCTTATTGTCTATGTCATTACTTGGTTTATTTAATAATTTGGACAAATTATTAATTGTTTTCAGGCAAAAATCTGCTTGTTTCATTTGTGGTTTTCTTATTTTTTAAATTTTAATATGGACAAAATTTAAGTCAACGTGTATTCTGTTGTCGTGTAATAGACAACAGCCTTTTTATGCATACACACTAGAGGTAAAATTAGATAAATAAATGAAACTGTGTTATGTAGCGTGGGGGCTGGTCACAGGACAAATTGCAAATAATCTCTTCTGGTGCTTCCTTTTCCACAAAATTGTGCTGTGGATAAGAAGCTTACACTGTGGATTATTTTGCTCTGCAACAGCAGATCAGTCAATGTGTTAAAATTAAAAAAAAAAAGAAAAACAAGCTTGGAGCGGCCTCATCCGTTCCTCCGGCAGGTCAAGAGGCCACAGCAGCTGCAGGCGACACCCTGCCCTCCCTGCACAAACAAAGCTTTAGACCTGCACTGACCTCCATCCTTCCATCCCTGCCTCTCTACCTTTAAGCTGGTCTGGATCATCCCCCTATTCTGTCTTGGCCTCTTGTTTCTGGTCCTCTCTGCGGATTCTACCCCACATCCTCTGTTTCAGAGAGTCACTATGGATGTCCTGCAGCGGCGGAGCCAAACAGGGTCACCCAGCAATATGGCCGGTAACTGTATAGCCTATTTAAAGGATGACAACACAATAAGGCCTTCAATAATGCATCCGCTGCAGTGAAGCCTCTGCAGCTTCATGGACGACAGCAAGAGAGCATATAGCTTTATTTGTGCAGTAATAAATAACCCGAAATGTTTCAGGGCTCACAGAAACATATATGTCTCTCATTGCCACATCCTTAATGGGCCTGAGTTGTGAAGTGTTTTGGCACCATTCAGTCCATAACATTCAGGCTGCAGGGAACTCACACTGTGATTAGCTGCGACCCAGAGGAGTTAAAAGTGGTTAAAAAAAAAAAGCATGTGAAGCTGTAATTATGCTTCAAGAGACTGATGAGTCCAGGCAGAGACTCCCTCCCCTCCCCCACTGTCCTCACAGGGCCGGCCTGTTAAACCACTAAAATGCCCTCCTTTTGTCCCTTTGCGGCATATTGAAGACAACACCGAGGGCCCCAGTACGCACTCACCATCACAGATTTTTTTTTTAAATTCTTGCCATTGTTGTCCTTGCATGATTTATGACGGGGAGGGGGGGCACTGTCAGAGAAACCATCACATGAAGTAGTTTATGAGTTTGAGAGAAACAGAATTCATGAAACATTTAAAACACAAAATCTCTTCCAGCAACTAGATTCCAAATGTTTAATGAGGTTCTTATTGATTGCTAAAAAGTGTAAATTATTTATCTCCTATTAATAAATCCATAATTACAGCTAAGGCCTGGGCAGAAAGCAGCACCATGACACCTAAATAAAGCTCTGTTTGGTGCGACAGGTCGGATTAGTAACGTCAGGGAGACTTTTATTTATGTATATCCATGATTTATGAATAAATCTGCCCCAGGGAGCAGAGGACCATCACTATGGAAACAGGCTGTCAGAACATCCAGCTGTGCATCATCATCCTGAAGGTGGCCTATCCTCCCGCGGTGATAGGCCCCCTGTTCCTGTTCCCCACGGTCTTCTTGTTCTTCCAGCTGACGGAGGCTGCTGTGATCATCGGGCTGTTCAGGTGTCACCGGAGGTTCGCGCAAAAAAAAAGAGGAAGGAAGCACTGATGCTGGGGTTTTTGAAAAGGTTAATTGAATACGAGGAGATGGACGAGGAAGAAAAAAAAAAAAACGTTTATTGGGACTGGTTTCATCTTAAGATAATTTGCTTTATAGGAGATCAACAGTGCTGAAAACATCGACTGTATTATACATCGATAAAATTAATTTAATATTCAATCCATGAAGTCGTGAGCCTGGTTCTGTTCTTCATGTTCATCAGTGTTAGAATTAAAAAAAACAGAGAAGTCATTAAGAACCAGCGTTTAATCCAAATATTCAGCAGAAAACTTAAACAAAGTTTTGTTTGATTTGTTGCATCATGGGTAATATTCACAGTTCAGTGAGTGGGACAATTTATTTATCAACTATTTATTCAGCCAGTAATTCTTAACTTCATTTAACCGTCTTTATCGTCTCAGCTGCAGAGACAAAAGAGCCCAGGCCCACTGTGGACAACACAAATGTGCCACCATGACAGACGCACTCCAAATGCCTCATGTCGTCCCCAGTAAAGTTAATACCAGCTGAAAAAAGACGGATGATGACTCAATAAAATTTCAGCCATTCGACAACCTGTGAATCCATTTGCATTGATTAAGAGAAAATTTCTGACTTTGTTAAAATGTTTTTCTTATTGAGTCCACCGTCTTTCTACAGCGCACAAACGTCCATCATATTTGATTTCACTGAAAATACAATCCAACAGTAGAAAAATGTTGTATTTTCCACAATGTTCATTTGAACCACAGTTACTTTAACCTGTCACATTACCAACAAGGTTTCTTGGAATTACATTTATACAATTATGTAAAAACAAAAGTCTCCAATGCTGTACACACAACCTTTAACAAAAACAAGATAAAATAACATTCAGTAAAATGCTATAATTAACTGCTTTATGCATCAGCTCTATCTTAAAGTGTTGAAATCAGAAGGATGAACATCTCCCAACAAAATAAAAGCCTCAGTCACTGCAAGAAGCTGTAGGAAATGATGTAATTAACTGTACAGCTCTTTAACCTGTGGGGAAATGTGCTGATTTGTACAAGTGTGTTTGATACTAAAGCTGCAAATGACAGTTATGATGTTTGTTTTTTTCAGGACAAATAAAGTATTATCTGAATGAGATTCTGTATTTTGAGCAAACAAAAGCACATGCATGCATCCGAAGTTCTACACATCACAGCAGCAGTGGGTACAGTAGGTGAGAAAAAAGGGGAAAAGACACGAAAAGGCTTTGGAAATGAGCGATACAGAGAAAAATATGTTAAGAGATTAAAAAAAAAAATCTCCAAACTACGAGCAAAAGTATCACAAGTAAAGAAAGTGGTTGCAACACTAGTCAAAAGCATCCTGCTGCTGCGGACACATACAGATTCCCTCTTGAAATGTTTCTTTCCAAGGTGTAGAATGAACGTGGAAGCTGGGAGGATTTCGTGAGAGGAAATGGCGACGCAGCAGCGCCGCCCGCACCTGCAGCCGTAATGGATGAATGAATTCAGGGGTGAGAAGTGACTGGGTGTAAACATGCATATGCGCTAATACTCCAGTGGAAATGTGAATCTGCTGAGGAACTTAAATGCCCAATAATGACAATGAAATATCTGATTTACTTGTGTTTAATGTGAAAAACTTAAAATCCAGACCAAAAAAAATTGGCTCGTGTGACAATTTCTCCAAACTGAATCTACGACTGAAACAACGTGTTTCTACAGTTGATTCCGTTAACACAGCCCTTAGCGCTGGCTGTCAGTAGAGGGGGAACGAGAGCGGGAGCGGGAACGAGAGCGGGAACGGGATATGGAGGCTCTCTGGGCGGGTCGAGGGGAGGGAGACTTGCTCGTCTTGGAGGAGCGCTTGTTGGCCTCCTTGGATTTGGGGGTGGGGGATTTGGGGCTGCCGGCGGGGGAGACGCTGCGGGAGCGTGAGCGGGAGCGGTTGTGGGCCTTGGCGGGGCTGCGTGAGCGCCGGGGGGAACGCGAGGGAGAGCGACCGCGAGAACGAGACCGGGAGCGAGAGGTGCTTTCAGACCGGGAACGACTTCTTGACCTGAGAAAGAGACAAAAGAGAAATATTTAATTATAATATTTACTTTCATGTTGGCGAACAGACAAATCTGTACAACTGAACTGTTCACTCTAGCGAATTAAAAAAGGCAGCATGAGCTGTAAGTGGAAACCACCATGTTCTCATGACTAATTATGGGTAAAAAGGAAGGCCTCAGCCACAATCATCTGACTCCTCTAATACATATTGATTTTATTTTAGTGAATAGAGGCTCCGGCAGACAACTCACCTCTTCTTGGCTGCCTCTATGAGCTTGATTTTCCTGCCATTGATTTCCTTTCCAGACAGTTTCTCAAGGGCATTTTTCAGGTCGCTGTAAGAGGCAAACTCAACAACCCTGGAAAAGCAGCAGGAGACGGTGTTAATATTCGGAATCTTAGTTACACTTCTTGTCAAGAACTGGATGCTGAACTGACAAAGAGACAGAAAGTCGTACCCTTCGTTGAGTTTGGGCCGATGTGCGTCTGCGAATGTCACCTCTCCAGCTTGTCTCATGAAATCTTTCAGGTCCTACACATATAAACATCAGTCAGCGTACGGAGGGGCTCGGGACACCAGCACAGGCTGAGACAATACACAGGACTGATTTACCCAAAAAGAGAGATGGTTAGAATCTCTTGACAGAACTATACAGGCTACTGCAGATAAAGAGGGTGAGTCCAAGAACCTCAGAGACAAAGTCCCATCAGCTAAATCTAAACAAAGAAATCTTATGAAACAATAAAAGAAAACATCTGTGTGCCAATTTAGATAACATTTTGAAAAGTAGCGAAAAGAGTATTTGAAATAGCTCTGAGATTATTGGACCCACTGCTCAACACAACTACAGAGAGATGAACACCATCTGCATGAACTGAACTGCAGTGGTGCCACTTGGGCAGCATTTGGCACAAAGAGCCCCATTTTCCCTGGCAAGGAGGGTACAGGGCTCCACGCCGGGACCGCCCCTGTCTCGGCACCCCGCCTCAGTAAAGAGAGTGAACAGGGTGGAAGAGAGGAAACTACTACCTGAGAGCGAACCCCTTTGGAGTGGGCCGCAGGCTCTCCGAGCCCACCATAACATCGGGATAACAGCAGATTATATCCATGGGCACCTGGGAGGAATTCACACTCTCTCTCTCGCGATGTGCGGGAACACCACAGGGGGAAGGGAGGGGGGATATCGATCGATCGAAGCCCCTCAAATTAACGAACCATCGATCAATACGCCACCACCATCGACTCTCGCTCTTTCCTCTCCTTTCTCTCTGCCAACTCTCTGTTTCCTCTCTCTCGCTCTCAACCACAACCAGGCGTTGCGAGTGAGTGAAGGGGCCGCCAGCGCCTCTAGTGTAGAGCGAGCGCTCACATGACCAGCAGGCATCAACTAGGAGTTTGGACAGAATGGCTGACACCACAGGCTCAACCCAGACAGAAGGACCCAGAAGGGGTTAACTCCACCATAAGCGAGCTGTTCCACATGACACAACAGTCAGGCTGGCAAATAAAGGGGTGAAGAATTGGTTAAAATTTGAAAACAGGAACAGATTCAAATCTTTTGATGTTGTTATTGCTCTTTGATATATTACTTAGCTGCATGAAATGCAGATTAATCAAAAATTATTTTTGAAATAACAATTTGGGCTCATATAGATTACTGATACAAAATATTAGCAAGATAAAGTGATTTCATTTCAGAAATAGTCTATGTTGTCTTTAGCATCACTTCTAGAATAGTATGTGTATATTGTTGGAGGCAAACTGTGGGAGGTGACAACATTTGTGGTGTTGCAGCTTTAAGAGGCTGTTTGTGTTCAAATGAACATGTGATGGAACGAACCTGCCAGCTGACGCGAGAGGACAAATTCTCCACAATCAGGCGGTTTTCCGTCCGCATCGGAGGAGGGTTTCGACTGGAGACGAGAAAATACCACAGTTAATTTATGCAGCAGATTGCGGAACAGAGAGAAACACAGTCCTGAACCTAAGAGCTCTCATTAACAATGCTAATGATGATCAAGGATCATTACAGTGCACAGCGTGTGCATTGCATTTTAAGTGAGTTCGCTCGTATTTACACAGCTTCTACTTTACATCTGTTCCAACATCACCTGCGTCAACGTCTGCACCTCTGATGAGCAATTTAACTGCAGTTAAATACTATTTCACCAAAGTAAGAGCAGCAGCCTTACCTCCGACTGTTCTGGGAGCCTCGACCATAGCGATCAGAGAAACGTCCACCACCACCCCCACCACCCCCTCCACCGCTGCTGCTGCTACTGCCACCTCTGCCACGGCCGCCGCGCAGACGAACGCGGGCATGCTCAATGGTCACCCTGGAATTACAAGAGAGGGGGAAAAACTATTAACATGGAACAGGAAGTCAGCAGGAAGGGTAAACTCAAGACTTCTATTGATTCCCATTATATTTACCAAAATAGAAACTCCTACCTTTCACAGCACAGCTCTTTGCCGTCAAGCTCATACACGGCATCTTCAGCGTCTCTGGGGTCATCAAACTCCTGCAGACGACACAAAAAAAACAGCTGAGCCTTCAAAATACTCCACGATGTTCCAGGAGTTTTAACTTTGTAGATTTCTCTGTGTTGAGCAGCAGCACCGCCGTGTCCACGGACAGCTGTACACATGCTTCAGCACAAATATCACCAGAATAATAAAGACCTGTCAGGACTCCACCAAGCTGAAGTTAGTGACATTGAAAAGGCTCTAAATGTTTGAGTTAGATGAGACTTCCTGTGTGTGTGTGTGTGTGTGTGTCGTAGTTTAAGACTCTGGTGTTAATACAAACTCCAGATTCTGAACTGGTCAACAGACACAATCCACCTCAGCTCGGTGGGTGTGACACCTCTGATGCTGAGGAACAAAAGGTTTCCCCACAGAGTCCCAGGACCGCGACGTCGACTCGGATTCAGTCGCCTCGAGGCAAAATGGAAACTTGATATAATTCAAACATGGAAACTGCGGAGACGTCGGCGGACTCACCACGAACCCGAAGCCTCTCTTGAGGTCGATGTCTCGGATGCGGCCGTATCCCTTGAAGAACCTCTCCACGTCCTTCTCTCTGGCCGTGGGGCTCAGGCGGCCGATGAAGATACGACATCCGCTCATGTTGCTGCTGGAAATGTTTCTTCACACGAAGGACACACACGAGTTATTCTTTAAGCAACGCGACGCTGCGGGTTTATGGTTTTAAATCAATAAAAACAGAACTGTGGGAAAGATGCATTCATGGTTAGCAGGCCTGGGCGGTGTAGCTAACAAGCTAGCTAGTACCTGCAGCTAAAGAAAAAAAGGCCCGACGAGCGGGTCCTGCGGCTAATTGTAAGCTAACGACGCGTAAACACGACGGCTAACGTTGATTTTTAACGCAACAATAATCGCAGGACGACACTGCGGAGTGTTTGAATGAGCGTGAACGTACCTGTGCGGGATGTTTCAGTGTTTAGCAGCTGACCACAGTCACTGCAGAGTTCACAATAAAACAAAATGGAGGCGAGAACGGGGGGGGGGGGGGGGGGGGGGGGGCAAGTCACGTGACGTATCACGTCACTGCAGAAGACGGGGAGGAAAAACGAGTGCCGACGAGGATTTACGAACGTGACGTCACCGAGACGCCAAGATAGTGCAGTTTTCCATTCTGACCACGAGGTGTCGCTCAAACACAAAGATACTGCTAATACTACAACAATCACAAATACTACTTCTACAATACTAATACTTCTAATACAATACTACTACAACTACAATACTACTGCTACTACTAATCTTTTTGTAGAGAAGCTGCTGCTTTGTAAAGTTCAGTAGCATAAATAATACAAAAGGAAAATATCAATCACATTTTTATGATTCAGAAATAATTAAAAAACAGAAAAAAATGAAATTTTAACTTGACTCAGTTTTTTTGAACTACACAACTTTACTCCTCTTTCAGTCATTCTGGTGACGCATCAACATCAGCGTGAGTCAAAGAGCAGATTTGAACCAGTTGAACATGAAAAACAGGAAGATGACCTTTGTCCATAGGTGCATACACTTCCCCTTCAACTGGTAAATGATCGACTTGATCGACTTGTGAACTGATGAGAAAGTTACTGTGGGTTTTTAAAGTGACCCCATAACAGATCAAGTGGATAAAGATTTATTATAATGTTAATATTGAACTATCATATGTGTTGGGCACACTGGAGGTAGCTTTAAAAATGTGATCTTGGCTACACAGTGCTGGGAAATATTAAACAGAAGCAGGATTTCCTTGGTTCAGATCTTCCAGGATCTAATCCAAAGGAAAATGGATCACATTATTTTTGACAGGTGGTTAAACATCGTCCATGTTTGTACTGGAAACTCTCAGTCAGAAAAAATGGGAGTGAGAAAAACACGGCAACACAAACGACACATCATCTTCCACATTCAAAAGAAAGCTTTAATTAGAAAGTTATATACACACTGTAAAATTAAATTAAACTTTATACAAATATTAAATTACTATCTTCACACCCACTGCCATGTACAGAGGAGAAACCAAAGCTGAAAGTGTTGAAACTTAAGAATCAGGATGTGTACTTTGTTTAACCTGTGATTTTCAGGGACGCAACACCGTACAACAGTGTTTCTGAATGCAAGGTTAATTAGTGTTTTCCTTTCTTTTAAATCCCATTATATTTTTAATGCCTTGCAAGAGAAGTAAAGGAAGAGTGAAACATAGGTGCTCATAGGTTCATCATCACCACCATCATCATCATCACAGTAGCTGGAAATGCTAGGGGGAGGATAAAGAAGGACGGACATTCGTTCAGTCGTGTCCACAACAGAAGTAAAAGTCATCGATAAATACAGAAAGACAGTTTTATGCATAGAATAGAAAAAACAGAGTAAGGCCATTGGAAAGAAACAGAACACTTTGCAGTATTGTAAAAGCAACCAACGCGGAGGCTTGCGATTATACATTTAAAAAAAAAAAAAAAGAAGAACATGTACAAGTCTAAGGCAACATTCTGCTTGCATGAATAATGTAGCCGTTGACATTTACAGACAGCCACGAATTCCAAATAAAATCGAGAACGGAAACTCAGACCAGTGGAGTTTTTTTAACCTCAGAAAGTGATTCTCAAGAACCAACCAGAGTCATGCTGTTCCCACGGTGACCAGCTCGACCACCAAATGCTTTTCAAGTGACAGCGACTCCTTTCAAAATGACTTTTGATAAATTCTTATTCTTTTATATATTCTTCACTTTGCACTCTGCATCGTAGGGATGGAGTGAATGATTGTGGTGGTGGTGGTGGGGTGGGGTGGGGTCGGGGGGGCTGTCATAATGACAAAACCTTAATTATTATTTTTATTATTTCACTGCAACCAGTTGCAGTGGTGTCGATGATGCACAGAAGTGGAGACAGAGTCTTCAGCTCAGTGTGAAGTCGGGCGAGTCCCTCTCTACGGAGACGTCCAGCCATTCAGCAGAAAATGATAAATATTCTAGTTTCGAGAGCACATGAATAATACACGTTGTTTAGCGGACACGTTGCCTGAAGTGACGCTGGTTTGTTCACATGACTTTATTCAACGCTGGGAGGGATTTCTTCCTATGGTGAAAGACGGGGACGTTGTGATGCCGGCCTCTGGTGTGACGAGAGGCAAATCAGGAAGCGGCAGCATTGAAGACGACCATATGAGGACATGTCGTCTCCTGCCGAGCTCACAAGCACACACGCGCGCACACACTCAGATTCAACTACTCAAACTGAGCCACACACCAAACAATAAATACAGTGGGGGGGGGAATAAACACAAACAACCTCTAGGTTAAGTCATGTGTCCAGTCACCACGTTCAAACACAACCCTCTCGTCAGCTTTCAAAACAAAATGTGGCATCGTGTCTCCCTCTCTTTAAACAAGCAACGACGTGTAGCACAGCCCTGGAACCAAAACACCGATCAATCCCACTCATGCAGCAGAGGCAGCACCCTCCAGACACTGGCTGCATCCGGCAAAGAAAACAATCCCACCAATCCATATGCTCGAATGCCGACCGGGTGCACAGATAAGCTACGGAGAGAGAGACAGAGGAGGCTTCATGCTTCGTTCAGACTGTGCCGTGACAGCCACGACTAAAAACAACATGCAGCATTCACCAAAGAGGGCCGCACAAAAAAAACCAGCCCCGTCACTCACAACTTTTCAAGTACAGCGGGAAGACGATTCTGATTCTGAGCGCGTTAGCGTCAGGAGCGAACATCTCAAGTTTTTTTTAATATATTTATATATATCTGCAGTAACTCCAGACTGAGTCGATGTGTCTGGATTGAGAGCAATGTTAATATAGATAATTACACCTGGGAGGAGGCAAGTGTATGGTGATACATAGCCTATAGGACACAACCATGACTTGGTATGCATGTTTTACTCATATACATCAGATCTACAGGATTTATATTGAACTAGAACCACTCTGTCTGTAGTTTGATCCTGTAGCTGAGTCCAGTGCTGCTCCGTCACTGCTCGTGGTACAGTGACTGTTGGTTGTTGTTGGCTTCGCTCTGCATGGATAGCAATGGTAGAAGAGGTTGCGATGGGGGGGGGGGGGGGGGGGCATAGTTCGAGTCTTTTTCACTGCATTGTGGGGGAAGTAGGTTGTCAGCCACAGTCAGTTCCAGTCAGCAGTGAGAGAGGGAGAGAGAAAGAGAGAGAGAGAGAGAGAACGAGGGGCTCCGCTGCTGATGCCGAGAGCAGCCTGGCAGGCTTCATGCTTCCTTCAGCAGGGGGATGTCTGCAGGGAGAGACAGCAAACATTAGAAACAAGCAGAGGCTGTGGAGTTAGGGCTGAGTGGTATAACGGTATAATCACGGAATAATTTGAAGCTATAGATATAAAACGTATCACAGTATACTCTTAGAGTCATTCCTTCTTACCGTCAGAAAATTCATCCGTAGAGGTCACAGAAAGCAGACTGTTCTGATCGCTGCTCTCAGAGTCTCTACGGAGAGGGAGGGGGCCTGCACATGCACCCCCAGGGTGCTCTCTAGCCCATGATGATGAAGAGGAGGAGGAGGAGGAAGAGGAGGGGACCTGGTGAACCAGCACTGTCTCTGCATGGTGGCGGGAGGAGAAGGATGACGAGGTGGATGGCAGACAGAAGTCTAAGTCTCTGTGGTGGCGGGTTCTGCTGGGGCCTTGGCCTCCAGTGGCCCCCTGAGGAAGCCCCTCAGAGAGCACGATGGGCACTCGAGACTCCAGAGGAGCCGCAGGAGGTGGTGGAGAAGGAGGAGGATCGGATGCAGCGCATGGTCCACCGTTTCCATATACAGCCTCTTCGTAGGAGGGGAGGCTCACCTGGACGCCCTCCACCATGATGGAACTACTCTGGCCTGAGACTCCCTGCTCCCTCCTGATGGACGGAGATATGAGACAGTGAGACAGACAGGAAGACGAGTGTGATCATGACCAAGGCTCAGGTTGGAAGGCATGTTGCAGAGAGCTCTGAGTGCAGGTGATGAGTTTCGATTGTACAAACCTGTTACAGCAGGCTGCACTTAGCCCTTAGGCCAACTACGCATAAGATCAAATCGTTCTGCTCTTTTCAATCACAGAGCCACAGCAGACAGACGTAGTCACTGTTATGGGATTAACTCCTCTTTCCAACTTAACTTTCATTTCTCAGGTTTTTAAGACTGGACTTGTAAAACCAGTTGATAACCGAAACGTCTGAATAGCAGGTGTGTCCACGGAAATAATGAGCAGCCAAATCATCCGTGTTAATTTGTAACATAGTAGGAGGTGGTTTTACAGCACCAAACATAAAAAGGTCAGCAGAGTACAAGAGCAAACAAAACTAAAGCTTTAAGAGTTTCTGACAACAGCAGGTTGTTGAAGAAGTGGAGGTCTGAAATAAAATCGTCATGTTTGATTTTGCACAGGATTATTTGACTTCTTCCTGAGTCTGCGTTGTTTTTAAGATGGTGGGTTTCCTATTATCCACGTTACTGTTGATACATGTCGCTGCTGATTGAGCAACATCTCTGACACACCCAGCGAGAGAAAACCCACTTCAAAGCCCGATTTGCACATCGTTTTGAACAAGCAAGTTTAACCCAAAAAAAAACCCCCATGGCAAAATGGTGCAAAATGTTTTGAGCTTGAATGTGTCACTAGATCCAGGGGAGCCGGGAATCCATCGACAAACTCGGAGAACATTTCGTCATGCAACTCAAAGTGTGTTTTTTTTTTATCTTCAAATCTACAGAAGACACACAGTCAGTGTACGACTGTGTTAACATCTCCTGACTGTGTGATTGTAACTCTAAAAGTGAAATGTTACAACTGAACAGATTATAATTTGTGTGCATCTTACCTGCTGTGATGGAAGGACTTGAGTTTGGGCTGTACAAGAACAAACAACACCACTAAAAGCAGGATGAGAGCCACAGAACTAGCTGTGGATGCCACGATGGACAGAGCTGGAATACCCAGCGGCGAGCTCGGCTCTTTGTCTGAGGGGCACAAGGAAGAGAGAGAGAGAGGAAGTGAGTGTGTGGTTCACTGATTTAGATTCTATGATTTCCCGCATGAGGTTGTGTAATTACAAATAAAGATCAAGCAGTGAAAGACCTTGCGTTAGTCGGCAGCTGATCTGCATGGGGCCGTCCCACTCGCCGTTCTGGCAGGTGAGGAACTTGTAATCTCCTTTCAGAGCGTAGCCCTCGTCGCAGAAGTACTCGATGACCGTCTTCTGGGTGAGGCGGTGGCAGGGAGACGGGTGACAGCGATAGCCACCGTTCTCTGGTTCAGTGGGGGGTGAGCACACTGGGAAGAATAAGAAGAGGCAATAGAGGTATTTAATCATCATGGCTGCTGCTGCTGTGTGCAGAAATTGCTTCGGACCATAATTTCTACCTGTGGTCAGGTTTGTTTCCTGTGGTTTAGTAAATGCTGAAATGTCTGTGTCCCCTGCTGGCTCTCAAGGACATCCTCCCTGTCTGTGCTATGATACTGTGAGCCGCTGAACTGATGTGATATTTCAATTTTGACGCAGTCATGTGCGTGTAAGTCCAAAAAGCAGATTTTTTTCATACCCTTTATACCTAACCATCTATAACAACCTGCTTTGGAGATGCTGTATGTGAGGAAACGCCCAATTGACAACTTTTTTACAGTATTCATTCTTCTGAAAGTAACTATGGATGGATTTCTATCTGCTAAAATTATTTCATCTCCAATAAGAAAATCAAGATGGATGTATGAGCAAAATAAGCAATGAATGAAAACAAAAACTAAAAGATGTGTGCTTGTAATAGACCTGTGTTTGTATTTTTGATCCTGATGCTTCTGATGCAGCGTGGGGGCTGATGGGACCAGGCTCCAGAACTGGTACAAATGATAGTGGTGGGTCCATCTGCCGTGTAGTCGGGCTCACAGCCATAGGTCAGCAAGGTGCCCGGGGGAAAGGATCCCCTGTTGGCTTCGGTCTGGTTCAGCAGGTCCCCGTGCTGCACACCAGGAGGCTGCACACAACCTGAAGAAACATAATCGAGTGGAGAGAATTAATTAGTGGCTGCTTTAAAGGCCTAAATGATAGAAGTCTTTAAGGTTTTGGTGTCAGAACAAGACAAAAGTAAGATGAGAAGCTTCTCACTTCTCTTCTCTTGCTCTCGGCTGAACTCATGATCCATTAATGCTTGTGTAAGGAGCGACCCAGCTGCAGGCTCGCAGCCACAATTGGGAAAATATGTGATTCTGAACCATATTTTCATAATGCAAGGTAACAAGGTAATTATAAAAGCTATGTAAGTAACCTCAGAGGAGTTAAGACTGCCTCTAGACAGGATGTGTAGCATCTTAATTTTCAATTTATGCAGGGATTTCTGTGTATTAAAGGCCCACTGGGGAAACAAGGACAATTTATCTGAAACGTGGCCTGGTTCTCTGAAGATTTATGCACCAATATAACGTCAAATAAACCCAGTATTTACTATCAGTGAGGGACTGTTTGCTACGGTTGGCTCAGTCAAAGTCTAAATACAGAGACACGATCATAGTCTTCCAGCAACAATATTTTATATCACATTAATGCGGCGCTGCTGGAATATGGTGATGTCCTATCATTAAGCTGACACACGCTGTCGGCTGGACTCCTCCACGGGCAGTTGCCATCAGGTCAAACAACTTCTCACAGGGGAAAACTGTCAGGTTGACAGGCTGAGCAGATAATTAAAGCTCAGAGGTATTGTTATGTGAAACTAGGTTGGGTTTTTACACAGGTGAGGGAGACGGCACTGTATCAACATGACAGGTTCGGCGAGAGAAGGCCGCGCTGTGCAGTACAGAGAATATATCTCTAGTGCCTACAGTGGATTAAAATGTCACAGGGGGCTCCATAGAGATCTAATTTCTCATCATTATCTCCCGCTCATTAAACTGTGCTCATCCCACACCAGCATCTCTCTCTCTCTCTCGCTCTCAGGCAGTGAGACAGGATGTTCAGTGAGGTTTCCTTACTTGGCTCTAATGACAGACTTGAAGCCCTAAAGACAGGATGGGGCAGAGAACCTGGAGTTAATTGTGCTGTGATCTTCCCATGCTCTTTTTATGATTTTGCGTTGTCACGCCAGCTGCTGGTGTGCGAGCTTCGTGGGGTTTGTTGCAGCATGAGAGCAAATTATCTGAATTTGTGCTGCAAAACTCTGTCCCCACAGACTCACACGCAGATGTTCATATAAAAACACATTTGGAGCTGAAATCTGACAAGAGCGGAGAATCTAAATCCACAATCTGACATAACATTGCAGGCAGCACCTGTGTAAACTAAAGCAGGACAGCAGGAGGCTGACTCTACTTTGAGCACTAAGCTGTTTTCAAACAAGCATTGAAGTCAAGACTTGCTGAAATTTTCTGGAGCGACTGTGTGTCACCATGTCCGAGTCAGTTGCAGATCTTTTCCTGCCAGCCCCCCTAGTATAACATCCAGAAAATGCCAGAGTGAGCCCACCTGAGAATACAGCAGGAAAATTCACAGCAAGAGAGAGTTGATCACTTTTCTAACACGCAACAGGCAGTAAACTGGAGGAATAAAAATATCTCAGGATGAAAAACAGGAACCATAGACACGAAGAAGACGATGACGAAGATGCCAACTTGGAAAGACAGGGTTTGAGAGTTTTTGGGGATGAGTGCAGATGCCTGTGTCGATGTGCTGTAAATAAAAAAAATATTCTAAATCATGTCCTGCCTCCTGCTGCCTTCTTCATATGCGAAAGGCAAACTGGAAAATGTCCGGCACCAATTTTCCGAACAGACACTAACGACCAAATTTCATTACCACTGATCGTGTTAATCTGTGAAGTGGTTATGCAAGAATTTGGGTCCTGGCTTCACTGGAACATTTTTCAGTAATGACTCTAAACACTTAAATCCCTCTAGGCTATCGTATATAAATTAAATCTGTCACAACAAGAGAAGGTTTTTTTTTTATCTCTACATCTTTTCTGTTTGATTAATTAAATGAAATCATATGATGTGCGGTGAACTTTCCCCAGTAACAAGGCACGAGCATAAGTACCTTTTAAACACCCCCCACAGCGGTGAACATTAATAAGGCCATCAACGCTAATGACCACGCCGCTGATTATTTAATCCTTGGTCTGCGTATTTATAAAATCATATTAGCCATGGTCCACTGTGGTGTCTTATCACAAACAAACACAGCGACACTGAAAACAGCCTCTTTTTCGTCTTTCCTCCGAGTCTGTTTAGCGATTGAAAGAGAGACTATTTCCACAGCAGTGCCTCTAACATCTTCTAATCTCCCAGGAGAAATGCTGCTCTAAGCTGGCGGCACAAGATTAAATGCAAAATGCAAACACTCAAATGTGCGAGTCACACACACACACAAACAAACACACAAAGTCAACTCCCACAAACAAAGACACTCCCAGGACCAAGTCATGTAATACCAAAGGGTGTGTTATTGAATTCAGCTGGGGACAGATTTGGTGTGTGTGCGTGTGAAAAAAATATGGAGTTGCCACCTGGTTATTATAGATAAACTAAAAAGCCACAGATGCGAGCCTGCTGTAGAGATGAGGGTTGGCTTTCCGCCTTCTCCAATTCCATCGCTCTCAATCATAAAATATTTTTTTATATGACTGCATCCACCTAACTTTCATTATTGGTGAACCCTCTTGAATATTTCCCTGAATCAATTTATGATTTGTTGTTTAAATAGAAAAGAAAATCTCAAAGTGACATTACTTGTTTTATCCAACAGCGTCCATATTGACTTTTACATTTATGATGCAAGCCAACGAGTTGAAATGAAACTCCTCACATTAAAAACTGACTTAAAATGAAAAGTCGGTAATGTGTTCATTAAAAATTTCAGATCTACATTGTTAGTTATTTTCAAATTATTCCCAAGGAGAGTGAAGAACATACACCCTTAAATCTCCTGGTGTTGAATCTCCTACTCACAAATAAGATTACACCAGCTAATTCAATTAAAGTCAAAATTAGAGCTACAGTGATTAAATCAGCTGATATGAATACGCTGCAGAGAAGAGGAGGGGAGTTTCTCGCTGCTCATCATTAAACATATAAATGATGAGCAGCGAGAAACTGCAGCACAGAAATGCCAACCTAAGTTTGAGGTAATTTACAGTTTGTACAGTTTTTGTTTTTCACTGTAAAAACCCCAAATTGTCAAACAACACTATCGGCTCTTAAAGGAAACATATAATGCTTTTCAGCATTGCTTTACTCTGTGTTATAATTATTATATTATATATATATATATATTTTTTTTAATGTGTTAATGTAAAAGGTACACACATGCAAACACAGTAATATCAATATTTATCCCTGGAATACATCGATAACATTGATCTCACACACAGAAACACAATCTGCACGCCAGCGTGTCAGGACGCCATTTGACAGCGTGACCTGAGCAGTTGCTCGTTGAGCTGCTTCAGGGCGATTACAGGCTCCTCTGAGGAGGAGATGGTGCTAATGGAGGTGGTAAAGGAGACGAATTGATGACTCCCTGGCTGGGAGGCAGCAGGGGACAAAAAAGGCCTTAGGGTGCAGTTTAGGACAAAGGCCTTTAGCCAGCAGCCGCCGTTATGATCTTTTGTGAAGCGCTGCGAGGCAGTCAATAACAACTGTAGAAGACTGATGAGGGTTAATGGTATTTCATGATCTTTAGCATTTTAACTGGTTTATTGTCTCGAGGATTAAGGCATGGGCATGAATGGACACATTTAACCTCACAAATAAAGCCTCATGAAAGCCTCTGCAATCCAGAAGGAAGAACACACCATGAATTTAAAACATTGGATCCTGTCAGATCCTGATTCAACAGTTAAAATGTTCTTTCACACTGATTACATCAGACGACATACTTTATGTAAAGGTACTGCTTGATAGAATATATTAAGGAAGGAAAAACTAAAGAGGCATAAGCATAATCTGGCTTTAACTCGAGTTCTTTATCAAGTACGAGAGGTTTAAATACAAGCTAGTTGTTTTGGGAACTTTAAGCAAATCCTCTGTTTATGTTAAGTCATCAGGGAACTTCCCTGCATCATCATGTGGTTTGAGGATAAAGCATTAAAATATACTTACAGGCTTCGCCCACTCGAGGGTTAATTCATACCCAGAGACCAGGTCACAGAGGACACTGAAGTCTGCTCAAACTAAACAAACCATGAAGCCAATAAAATGTCCCTTTTTAAACTCATGGTTGTGTCAGACAACAAAGCAGACTCGCCGTCTCATGCAAGGAAAATCACATGACCTGGAGTTTTCTAAATGTCATTTGCACCTAATGCACAGATAGAGGCGCCTACATTTACAGTGTGGTTCGAAGGCATTAGAAAAATCACTCACAGCCGAGTGCATCATAACAGTAAAACTGCTTTCAGAGAGGCTGTTATGTGAGAAGACAAATGTCCAAGTCAGTTGCTCCAGACATTTCCCAGAACTTGTCCTGGCAGCCTCCTTGTAAAATATCTGTCAAATTTCCAAATGAGCCTTTGTGAAAATACAGTGATAAAAGGTGTGATCCAGAAAATGACGTTGAGGAAGATGTCAACAAGATTCAAGAATGTTTGGTGCAAAGGACCGAGGCCGGCGTCGAGGCTCCAAACTAAAACACATGCTTCTTTTGCGATGGAATTAACACATCATGTCTGGCCTACTGGATGCTGAATGCCCTGGACGTTTTCCTGTTGCTGTGAAAGCGTCTGACCCTGACTATCTCCTGCTGCATTCTTCACGTGTGAAAGGCAAACTCTGGAAAACGTACAGACCCAATTTTCCAATTTGTTATCATAAATCATCCGTTTTACACAGCTCAACTCAAGCCAGTGTAAAAAGTGAAACTGAAGAATATATAATAAAAAAATTAAGAAATATGGTTGTAAAACTTAGAGCCGTGAAGAAATTTTACTTTAACTCTGTCTCCCACTGGATTATATTTGTCAGAAAGAAGTCAAATAACCAGAAATGACAGGTGAG